GCCCTTATAAAAGAACCCAAGGGAGCTTGTTCCACCCTTTTGCCATGTGAAATCACAACAAAAAGATGGCTATCTAGGAAGCAAGCCTTCACCATGTGCTAAATATCTTGACACCTTGATCTTGTGCTTTCCAGCCTCTTGAACTGTGAGAAATAAATTTCTGTTGTTTATAAGCCAGCCAGTTTATGATATTTTGTTATAGCAGCCCAAACAGACTAAGACATGAACTCTAAGAAAAGTATTAATCAACTTTTTCACAAAATAAGGGGAAGAAGGAAGGGCCAAGATGGCTGAGTAGAAAACAGTGCCCGTCTGCAGCTCCCACCCAGAGGAAGGCAAAAGGTGAGTGATTTCTGTACATCCAACTGAGGTACCCAGGTTCTTTCATTAGGAGTTACTAGGTGGTTGGTGCAACCCATAGAGAACAGGACTAGACGGATTTACAGCTGAATTTTAACAGAGGTACAAAGATGAGCCATTTCTTATAAAACTATTCCAAACAAATGAAAAGGAGGGATTTTCCCTGACTCATTCTGTGAGGCCAACATTATCCTGATACCAAAACCTGGCAGAGATACAACAAAAAAAGAAAACTTCAGGCCAATATTCCTGATGAACATGGATGCAAAAATCCTCAAGAAAATACTGACAAACTGAATGCAGCAGCACATCAAAAAGCTTATTCACCCTGATCAAGATGGCTTCATCCCAGGATGCAAGGCTGGTTCAACATATGCAAATCAATGAATATAATTGGTCACATAAACAGAACTAAAGACAAAAACCACATGATTATCTCAATAGACAAAGAAAAGGCCTTTGATAAAATTCAACATCCCTTCATGCTAAAAAACTCTCAATTAACTAGGTATTGAAGGAACATATTTTGAGTTCCTTAAAATAGTAAGAGTCGTATATGATGAGCTCACAGCCAATGTCATACTGAATGGTCAAAAGCTGGAAGCATTCCCCTTGAAAACTGTCACAAGACAAGGATGCCTTCCCTTACCACTCTTATTTAACATAGTACTGGAAATTCTGGCCGTGGCAATCAGACAAGAGAGAGAAATAAAGGGTATTCAGATAGGAATGCCACTCAAGACATAGGCATGGGCAAAGATTTTATGATGAAATTGCCAAAAAGAATTGCAACAAAAAGCAAAAATTGACAAATGGGATCTAATTAAACTAGAGAGCTTCTGCACAGCAAAATGAACTATCATCACAGTGAACAGAAAACCTTCAGAATGGAAGAAATTTTTACAATTTATCCATCTGACAAAGGTCTAATACCCAGAATATGCAAGGAACTTAATCAAATTTACAAGAAAAAAAAAAAAACATTAAAAAGTGGGCAAAGGACATGAACAGACATTTCTCAAAAGAAGACATAAACGTGGCTAACAAACATGAAGAAAAGCTCAACATCACTAATCATTAGAGAAATGCAAATCAAAACCATAATGAGATACCATCTCATGCCAGTCAGAATGGTGATTATTAAAAAGTAAAGAAACAACAGATTCTGGTGAAGTTGCAGAGAAATAAAAACCCTTTTAGCGGGTGCAGTGGCTCATGCCCATAATTCCAGCACTTTGGGAGGCTGAGCCCGGCAGATCATGAGGTCAGGAGATCGAGACCATCCCAGCCAACATGGCGAAACCCCGTCTCTACTAAAATACAAAAGATTAGCCTGGCATGGTGGTGCGCACCTGTAGTCCCAGCTGCATGGGAGGCTGAGGCAGAGGAATCACTTGAACCTGGGTGGCAGAGGTTGCAGTGAGCTGAGATCTCACCACTGCACTCCAGTTAGGCAACAGAGCAAGACTCCGTCTTAAAAAAAACAAACCACACACACACTTTTACACTGCTGTTGGGAATGTAAATTAGTTCAACCATTGAGGAAGACAGTGTGGCGATTCCTCAAAGATTTAGAACTGGGAATATAATTTGACCCAGCAATCCCATTGCTGGGTATATACCCAGGGGAGTATAAATCATTCTTTTATAAAGGTGTATGCATGTTTATCTTCATTGCAGCACTATTCACAATAGCGAAGACATAGTATCAACCCAAATGCCATGATAGACTGAGTAAAGAAAATGTGGTACATATACAAGATGGAATACTATGCAGCCATACAAAGAAATGAGGTTGAAGCCAGAACATGGATGAAGCCAGAAGCCATTATCATCAGCAAACTAATGCAGGAACAGAAAACCAAACACCGTATGTTCTCACTTAAAAGTGGAAGCCGAACAATGAGAACACATGGCCACAGAGGGGAACAACACACACTGGGGCCTTTCAGGAGAGGGTGGAGGTTAGGGGAGAGCATTAGGAAAAATAACTAATGCATGCTGGGCTTAATACCTAGGTGATGGGTTGATAGGTACAACAGACCACCATGGCACACATTTACTTACATAACAAATGTGCGTTTTGCAAATGTACCTCTTATTTTATTTAAAAATAAGATTTAAAATTTAAAAAACTGCATTTAAAATAAAAAAAAAGGGGGAAGAAGAGATTTCTTTTAGGAAGAATTAAAAAGATTAAGAATGCTATAGTAAGTATTAAATACTGTATATAAAATTTTGGTATAATTACATAAAATATAATCACTTTACTGTGAAACAAATCTCCAAAAAGTTGTTTACATGGCTGGTTTCCAGTTTGGGGAAGTTGCCAAACTCGAGTTCAAAAGTCGGCATGGGTAGTTTCCACCTGGTTCCCAAATTCTCAACAGAATAAACCTTACCTTCTTAGTGATCTCTAGAGCTTTTTTATCTGAACTAGGAAGGTCAGCTATAAAAGTTAGTTTTATATGTGAATGTATGTATGACAAATGGAAGCAGTGACAATGTGTTTCCATAACTTTTGCATGATTCTAAATTTCCCTGGGGAAATACAACTGATGGTTGTCACGCCTGAATGTCACTGGCATTGAAGGCTCAAGGCACGGGAGGTAGGGTGGGAGGAGTACAAATTCAGAGACACAGCTTGGAAGGGAGATACCATTCACCATCAGCCTTTGAAAAGGAAAGAAATGTCATTGAGAATAGCCAGAAACACTTTAAAAAGCTTCTAGACGGTGTATGGTAACATGATTTGACAAGGAGTTAAGTTATTTATATGAAAATTTGGCCAAAATTGTGAGATTATCAAAACACGTATTTTTATATTGGTACATTTGGTGCCCATGGGGTGATATTACAGTCTTTCAGATTTGTCCTCTATATTTTAAATTTTCAATTAATTTCTAGGGAATTAAATGTCAGTAGCTTCTAAGAGTAAAGTAGGAAATAATTTAAGTGTTCAAAAATTAGGAATTTGTTGATTAAAATAAAATATGGTATGTCTGTACAGTTGCATAGGCTACAGCCATAACACTTTAGTATCACTTGATGTGGACAGATGTTAATGACATGTTAAATGGGAAAGCAGGTAATGAAACAATGTCTTTAAAACTATGAAATATGGATGACGTTTCTAGTTTTTTTGAGAACTTTAATATAAATTAGTTTCGTAATACTTCATAATGCATCTCTCCATAATCGAATCCATTTTCTTTACCTTAACATGGACCAATTCTTTTTTTTTTTTTTTTTTTTTTTTTTTTTGAGGCAGGGTCTCGCTCTGTTGCTCAGGCTGGAGTGCAGTGGCACAATAACAGCTCACTGTATTCTCAACTTCTCTGGCTCAGGTGGTCCTTCCACTTCAGCCTCCCTAGTAGCTGGGACTACAGGTGTGTGCTATCACACCCAGCTAATTTTTTTTGTACTTTTTGTGGAGACGGGGTTTTGCTATATTGCCCAGGCTGTTCTTGAACACCTAGCCTCAAACAATCTGCCCTCCTCGGCCTCCCAAAATGTTGTGATTGAGCCACCACAATCGGCCTACATGTTCCAAGTCTTACTTAAAAATTTAAATAATCTTAGCCTCTTTGGTTCCATATTTTATAGTTTTTAATATATGCTTTTTATGTAACTGGTGACAAAATTCCTTCCATCTCAGAATCTGCATTACTGAGAAATTTTACATCTGTATTTATATAGTTTTGTTTATATGAGTTTTTTTCCTTCTTCAAAGTGAATTCAAGCAAATATCTATTCACTTTTTGGTCCTCATGATTCAACAATGTTTAGGTTGATTATATATTTTAAATGCTGGGTTAGCCAAAAGTAGCAAGTTTTTTTGTTTTGTTGGAGTAAGGATTAAACAGAAGAGTATTATGTCCACATTGAAAATCATTTATGTATATTTTATTACCAGTGAGTAACTAGTCAAGGATTTGGCAGGCACAGCAATAGGTTTACAGGTCAGAGGTTGTGTCCATGGTAAGGAGAATCAGTTATCTATCCATTTTTGCTTATTTTCTGTCTTCTCCAAAGCTCCTCAGACATGGCCTGCCTCCTAGCTCAAACCTGAGGCTTGAGGAAATATCTTCAGTGTGGCACTGCACACAACACTGTTGGTGGCCTCAGCTGGACATGCCTTTGATTCCGAGGCATTTAGTCTGCTTAATATTCCCAGTGGTTGAGAGAGTTTCTCAAGCAGGTGAAGAAAGGCAGCCCACAGGCTTCTGAGTGGGCATGCCATCTTCACTGCCCCAGGCTTCTGTTGGTGATGATACTTAGTGTGGAGTTGGCTTGCACTCCTAGTTACTTAGAGCTGCTCACACCCCTGCTCCTGCCCTTTCTCCACCACCAGCTCACAAAGGAGGGATTGAATAGAAACTGAACTCTCCTGTTGCTTCCAAACTGCTGGCATCTATTGTAGGAAGATAAGCTAAAACTGTAATGAGTTCATTTTTGATGCTTTGTCTTTTACTTCTGAAAGCTAAATGAGAGAGAGGGAGGGGGTAATCTTGTTAATACAAGATTTGGATCAATTAAAATTCTGTGTATTTTTCTCAAAGTCAGCTTAAATATATTTCTTTGACTTTCCACTATTTTATTTAGAATATTTAAAGTGCCTTTTTTTTTTCTTCTTAAAGAACAATGTGTATTCCGGAGGTAGCATGGCAAGAAGGAATACTTACGTCTGTGAAAGGACCACAGATCGATATGCAGCATTGCAGAATGGAAAAGACAGCAGGTAAATGCCACAGTGCCAAGTAGTAATACCTTTGCTGTTGTTCTGTGTTAGTGCTTTTGCTGAAATGCCTTCAGCTGAATGGGTCCAGGGAAAAGGAGTTATTATATAAAATAGTGAGATTGCAACCAATCATTCTTACTAAGACATCTCTCCTGTACCAGAATAGAAAGATGGGAAAACATTTAGAGAAAGCAGGAAGTAAATAACTTTACCTACCAATTTCTGAGTAAAATCTGATAGTAAATACTTTTCTATAGTGAAGCAGATCATACCATCCTAATTTCATCTTCATAATTTAAATCTTATTATTTTATGCACCTGCCGCCTCCTTCCCTTTCACCTCCCATCAAGTCATTACTGTATTTGAATAATAAAGGCTTTATTTTCCTCCCTCTGAAAAAATGTGGCCATCTTATTTCTCATCATTCAGAACCATATAATTTTTAAAGTTTTATTTCAAATAATAATAAATCATATTATTTTTATTATTTAAAAAATGTAACTTCTTTCTGTCATGAGTCAGAAGGACTGCTCATCAATATAGTACAAAGGCATGGAGCCTAGTCTAATGACATTCTATTCTTAGTACCACCTTCAGTCATTTCAGTAGTGTGTACAAACCATTCTCACATTTGTTTCTTCTCACCTAATAAGACTGTAAAGTAAGTGTTATTGTAAGGCATACAAAGAAAACTATATCTTCTTTGAACATAAGATAATTGGAAATTGATTTCAGACTTATGATTTTTCCTGTGCTAAATTTGAAGCTGCAGCTCCTTTAATCTGCAACAGTTAACCTATTGACTAAAAGTGTGTTGATGTATCCAGAGATAATATTTTTGGTATAATTATCAATTCTGATTGTATCAATAATGGACAATAAACCACATCAACATATCACACCAAACTGTGATTTTGGGGAAGTAAAAAATGACTTAGTTATAATCATTTTGTCTGAAATTATTGTATCTCCACGAAAATAATTTTATACTTTCTCATATTTACATACATAGAGTAATTGTGTGTGAAATTTTTTTCATGGATGATAGTGATACATTTACCCTGGATACTTTTCATAAGAATATTAATTTTTTGTTAGTCATTAATAATGCTGTTAATGTTAGTTTCTTTCAAATATTTCAGTCATGAAAGGTGTTATTCAGTTTAGATTTTTAAAAAATATAGCTCTTAAATTTTAGTAAACCACAATTTTTCTTCTTTTTTACATTTCCATGGTCTTCTCAACTGCTTTATGACAAAAGCCTTACAGAGATGTCTGTGAGTAGCATATCTTCTGCAGGCTCTTCTGTGGCCTCTGCTGTCCCCTCAGCACGACCCCGCCACCAGAAGTCCATGTCCACTTCTGGTCATCCTATTAAAGTCACACTGCCAACCATTAAAGACGGCTCTGAAGCTTACCGGCCTGGGTAACGTGCTGGTTACATTTCATTTTGTTCATTGTTTTAAAATATATAGTACCATGCGAAAATACATGATAGTCACCATCACATGAAGACCTTTCTGACAAGATTCAGTGTTTGTAATGGAGGAAAAATTGAATTGTATCATAAACTTTCTGTGTACTTTGGCTGTTACTGGAAATGTTGCATATAACTTAAGTCATTTTCTAGAGGAATTTTTTTAAGGATTTGGTTTTAAGTCCATCTATAAAGTTAAATATTGCTGCTTAATTTGTCACTTAGGTAAAGTGATTTTTTTATGATTTAAACATATTTAAACAAGCACTAAACCTGGAGTTGAGACCTTTGGGTAATGATCAGGCTCAGTTCCTTGTTCTTAATAAAACAGAGCTTCAGTTTTCCTGTCAATGAAACTGATGAAATCAAGAGCCTATTCGGGTATAAAATTATATAACTGGTTTTCTAGTATTTTTCTATTTTAGGATTTCTCAAATTCAGTACATCTGAACATTTTAACCCACTGTTAGATTTGTTAAGCATATTGGTAGTGCCATGTGGTGGTGTACCATCACTGAAGCCTAAATTAGAATGGGAAATTATTTTATTCAACTTTTTTTTAATAAACAATAAAATTTGTGTTCAGCATTGCTAAGTGGTTCAGGAGAATATTAAAAAAATATTTGCACTACCCCTGGTTTGGGATTCCTGATACTGAAGAGTATTTACCTCTGTGTCCCTGTTTCAGTCATTTCTTAATTTTTAGTCACCAAACAAAAGGTACCTAGTTTCAGTCTGAAATTGTATTCCTCTCCAATGATACAGTAAATAAAAGCAACTCATGTCTTACAGCTCTAATGTGAACAAATAAATTAGGACCAAAAGAAGTAGCCATAGCCATTTGTTTCAAGTTTTTAGCATGAGTGAAAGGTTTTCTTGTCATTATTCTAAATTATATATCTTAATTTGTCCCAGCAGTACAACCCAGAGAGTGCCTGCTGCTTCCCCATCTGCTCACAGTATTAGTACTGCGACTCCAGACCGGACCCGCTTTCCCCGAGGGAGCTCAAGCCGAAGCACTTTCCATGGTGAACAGCTCCGGGAGCGACGCAGCGCTGCTTATAATGGGCCACCTGCTTCACCATCCCATGAAACGGGTGCATTTGCACATGCCAGAAGGGGAACGTCAACTGGTATAATAAGCAAAATCACATCCAAATTTGTTCGCAGGTCAGTACCAATGTACTATCGTGGTTTGTTTCCTCTAGAAATTACAAAGGGAAATTACTTTTTTCTTAAATCTTTATAATAATTTTCCAAAATGGTTTTATAACATTTCATTAGAGCTACTCTTTTACAGATTTGGAAGAAAAAAATTTAGGAAGACATAAAGTCTTTTTCCTTAAGAGAAAGAAAAAAAATGGACTAAATGAGATTTTAAAAATCTATAAAATAAAATATAAAGAACAAAAATTTGACTTTAAAAATGTGTGTTTTAACAAAAGATTATTTTATGTTTAAAAGCCTTGATTGAGAAAAATAAATGAGTTTACATGTTTCCTTCAAACAATATTTATCTTGAAAATACTTTTAAATTGCTTGCTAATAATATATAATTTACATTTTTTTTCTTCTTTGCATAAAATGCCTGCATACCAGAGTCGCAGATCTATGTAATTTCACATAGTAAAACCTTAATATCAAAACATAGTAAACACAAAATGAATACATGTATAGTAAAGTTCTAATCTACTTAAACAATGTAATTATACTTTCTAAAAAGTAAGCATGCTTACTGTGCATACATGTACAGTGCACATTGATGATACAAGTTGCTGACTACAATGCAGGCTGATGTCTGTTTGATCTATTTTTGTGTCCCACTGAATGCCTGCTTAAGCCCTGTGACAGACAAAGCACTGTGTTAGGTGCAGAACAGAATCTAAAGATAGGTAAGACAACATCTGTGCCCTCCAGATTTTTACAGTCTTGTAAGAAGCAGACAAACAACTAGCCATGATATAAACCAGAACATGTGCTAAAAAGTGTGGGCAACATGCTGGATTCCAGAGGAAGACACAATTGTTTCTATCTAGGGAGACAGTGAAGGCACCCTATCATATAATCATTTCAGCTGAGCCTTCAGTGGTGGGTTAGAAATAATTATACTTGCTTTAAGAAATACTAATTAGATAATTAATTTTCAATGTTATTAGTGTTCCTAGGATTTCAAAGAGTGGATGTGGAAAAGAGAAGCAGCAGCTTCAGTCTTACTTCCTTGTTATAGAGCTATTTACAGACCTGGTTCATACATCAGTTTGCCCAGTATCACATAGCTAAATTAAAAACTTTAAAGCCTCAAATATAACATAAATTTCTAACCATATCAGTCAGTGAGTTTGTACCCTTTGGGCAATTGCTATGCAGCATGACAACTTGCTAGAGAAAGAAAAAGTTCACCAACAGAGTCAGCATAGAAGTTAGATGATAGTTTTAGCAGGCCATCTGCAGGGTACTAGTCAGATTATCAGTAGGTTTCCACTTTTGGAATTTGGCTATTTAAGGCCATTTCAAAAAGCCAGTACTTTCTCCTGGTTAAGCCAGAATTAATTTTTAAGTGAAAAAAATAGGTTTGGAGTTTAATGCTTGATTACTAATTTTACATTAAGCGTTGTGCAAAATACTTCTCTCTGCAACAAAAATTTAGACTCTGGAGGAAGCATAGTAAAGGGTACTGTGGACAGGAAGTCAGGAGACAGAATATCAAAGCAAGAAAGTGCCTTAGAGTTGGTCTGTTGGGAGGTTCTGAAAAAGGATTACCATATAGTCATTGAACACATACGTGAAGACCTACTACATGCGAGGCACTTCTGTAGGAGCTCTTGCTACAGCAGTGAGTGAGACTAATGGGGCTCCTCCCTTCCTGTGAGCAACTTAGTATCTTGAAACATTCCGCACAGTTAAAGTGTTTCCCTTGCTTAGCTCTGGTTTTCTCCTTACTCACAGACTAGGTATCCGGGGTTCCTTTGCTGGCTTTTTTCAGATTCCCTTGCCTTTCCCTCAACCTCTAAATATTAGAGTGCCCCGGGGCTAAGTCTTTGAACACATTCTTTTCTCTGGTTTTCCTTACACTCTTGGTGATCTCAGTCAGGCTCATGATACTAGATTCCATCCTGTATGAACAACTCCCAAGTGTATCTGTAGCCCACATCTCTCTCTCTCTGGTTTTCCTTACACTCTTGGTGATCTCAGTCAGGTCATGACATTAGATTCCATTCTGTGTGAACAACTCCCAAGTGTATCTCTAGCCCACATCTCTCTCTTAAACTGCAGACTCATAGCCAACTGCTGCTCAGCTCTCTGCTTGGATATGTTATAGACTCTGATACAGAACATGTTCAAAACTCAACTCTCGTTCCTCTTCCCAAACCCATCCCTCCCTCGTTCTTCACCGTCTTGTTATCCTTGACAGCGCTTTTTCTCATACCACAACAGATCTACTGGCAAATTGTGCTGGTTTACCGTCATAGCATTTCCAGAATTTAACTGTCTCCATCACTCTCATCACTGCTTTCATACTCTGAATCACTGTTCATCTTTCACCTACTCATAGCTCTCCTAGCTTCTGTCCTGGTCCTCCTCCTCTTCTGTGTCAACAGTGTCATGTCAAGTATGATCATGTCACTCTTAGATTTAAAGCCCCTGATTAGCTTCCATCTTGCTCAGAATACACTTCTGTGCCCTCACCGTGGCCTGTGGGGCCCTGTGTTACCTGGCCATACATTTCTGCTCTGACTTCTTCCCCCTCTCTTCCCCTGGCTGATTCCCCACCAGCCACACAGGCACCTGACTGTCCTCAAGTACATTAAACACTGCTTTGGCATTGTGTACCTGCTATTCCTTCTGCCTGGAATTCTCTGCCCTAAATACCTGCATGGCTCACTTCTACACCAAACCTTATGATTTTCTAACCATAGCTCATTCTTATGTAGGGAATAACCCAATTTGTTCAGTTGAGTATATATTGCTGTATGTAGGTAACTGTTTTTTAAACGTTGTGTTGAAGAGCCATGCTGCACTGCAAATGCTGTTAGAGCCAGCTGTGCCTTCTGTAGCCCCATCTGCCTCCTACCATGGCTACTGAAAGCAGACTTCTTGGGCTTTTTGAAACAATTGCCAAGTAGCAGAAATTCTTCCAATGTTCTTACTAGCATCCAGGTAGGCAGGAACAGGGTATGGGTCAATTGCTATTTCAGTCAATTATAGCAGAGGAAATAGAGTCTAAGGGACATTTCACTCCTAATGCTTTAAGTTTGGCAATAGTGGAATAGGTGTTTGCTAGTGAATAATAAAGCATAATATAAATAGGACAGAAAAGTCCAGTGAAATGTATGTCCCTTCCTAAAGGAATTTTATCTTAGCAGTGGGAGTCAACAGCATTACTGTCTTGCTTGCCAAGTTGGTACACTGCCCATCTGTGTGTATCAGTTCATCTACACGTAATGGAAAATGTATGTTTCACTTTGAGCCTGCTCAAAAATGTTTTATGTCAGTGTGCTATAATAAAAATGGATTTGTATAGATGGTATTGAATTTTTATTATACTTCCCAATGAAAATGCAGTTATTAGAAATTTAAGAAATTACATTTGAATGTGAGAATACATTTTAGTATTCTTTTAAATTCAGATAGAACTTTTTTTTTTTCATAATATGCTTGTTAAGACAGGCATGTATTAAAGACCCTGAGATGCATAAGGCATTCATATTTTTGAGAACCATTTAAAATTTTAGAGCTTGGTGTGTGGGTATGTTTTATTAACTTGGGGGATGGGAGAGTTCCACTGATTTTATTCTTGTTGCATTCATTTAATATAAATAATACAAATGTTTCTGGAATGGCTAAAACATTAAGACAACATTATCTTAAGGATTCAAGTTGGTGATTTTTCCCACTATTTAATAGTGTTTTGGCCTCTATCACAAGATATTTAATTACCTTTAAAAATGACAAAGTGTTAAAATTTTGGTGGACTTTTTAAATTTTAATTACATCCAACACAAGAACAATTAGTAGTGTTTTCATGGTTTCATTTCACAGGTGGATATCCAGGTAAGATCAGTATTTTTGCTTAAGATTGAATCTGTGTTTTAGACTCACCTACATGGCTAGGCTGTTAATTTGCTATGATATTTTATCATGTTCATGAATTCTTAGCATAACGTCTAAAAGAAATGCTTATAGAAGAAATTGCTTATTTAGAAATTGGTATTTATTTGCTTACTATAAGTTTAATATATATATTTTCTAAATTGAGCGACTACTAGAATTATGCATAATTACAAATTTGAAGTTGAATCTTGCTATTGATAATTATTAAATAGTTTTAACTTTAGATGAAACTAAATTAAACCAAAAGATAAATTATGACTTCAAATGAATCATGGCTGGGAATTGGAAGATTATGAAAAAAATGTTAAACTTTCACCTCATATTGCCTCTTGACAATAATAAGTAGACGCTCAATAAATGATAATTACATGCGGTTATGATGAAAAACGAGAAATAGTCTCAGACTGACTAGTAATAGAAAATTGTCATGGTAGAAGTTTGCTCAACAAGCTAATTTTAAAATCATTTTAGATATAGGTTTTCTTGATATATTTTTTACTTTTATCATTAAATCTCAACCTTCACTTTGTTTTGAGGGATCCAAGTGAAGGCGAAGCCAGTGGCAGAACTGACACCTCAAGGTGAGGAGCCACTATTAATACTTCGCTGCTAGGTCCCTGTGTATGAAAACGTACTCTTGAAATACTTATAGCACTTAATGATCATGAATAGATCTAATAACTAGATAGCATGCATATTTTAGATTTTTATATTGGGGTGGGTTTTCATAATGTTACCTAGCATTCAAGTCAGTCAACTTTTAAGTTTGTTTTCCAAACATTCATTTGAATTGTGAACTTGGTGAAGACATAGGCGTTCTGTTCTATAAAGTATGTTAAGCTGAAGAATTAATTGATTAAATGTACAGATATTGTTCTCACTCAAGTGATGTAACTAAAATTAATCTGAGTCAAATAGCACAAATAAGACAGAACAGGGAAATAATTACACGTAGGAAGATTTGATATAAGTAATATATTTTAGGTGACAATTCAGTGTTTGATCACATTTAAAAATTCTACCCTGCCATGCTTTTGGGGTTTTTGTTTTTTTTTTTACATTTCATTCATTCTGGCAATGGGTTTCAAACTTGAGCACAATCAGAATTACAGGGAATACTTGATAAAAAGATTGCTGGATCCCACACCCAGGGTTTCTGATTCAGAGGCCAAGGCAGGTGCCTGAGTATTTGCATTTCTAACAAGTCCCCAGGAGATGCTTATGCTGCTGTTCTAGGGACCACATCATGGACATGTTAGTACTTGTGTTCATATTTTACAAATGGGAAATTTAAGAAATGAAGGCACTAATTTATTTTGAGTGTACACAAGCATTAAGGTATGCAATATAAATGTTAGAACCAACAAGTATTTCACAGTAGGACAGGCATCTGGCTTCATTCAGGAACAGTTATGTCCAGCTGAACACAAGCCTCCAATCTGATTTCTACTTTTCAAATTATTTAAAATATAAAACATAATGAACTTGGAGAAAACTATAGCACTTCCATGTAGTCTTTTTAGCAAACTGTGCTATATTTATATTTAGTAATAATAGTTGAAATGTTTGAGAGTTAGGTACCTGAGTCACCATGGTAGGGAGCCACAGGGGAGCAAGACCAATATTCTTAACTTTCTTCTGCCTTTTACACAAACGTGGAGGACTTGTTCTTAGCCTCTCCCTCTGTCTTCATTTTTGAGCCCTCTTCTTGCATCTCATCCTGTATTTCCACTAAATTTCTCTCTGAGACATTTAGCAGTGTGTGGTGTTGCAGGTTGCCATTAATAGTTGTATTTTTGGTTGGGCACAGTGGCTCATGCCTATAATCACAGCACTTTGGGAGGCCGAGGCAGGTGAATCATGAGGTCAAGAGATGAGATCATCCTGGCCAATGTGGTGAAAACCCATCTCTATTAAAAATACAAAAATTAGCTGGGCGTGGTGGTGCACATTTGTAGTTCCAACTACTTGGGAGTCTGAGGTAGGAGAATCACTTGAACCCAGGAGGCAGAGGTTGCAATGAGCCAAGATCACGCCACTGCTGTACAGCTTGGCAACAGAGTGAGACTCCATCTCAAAAAAAAAAAGTTGCATTTTTATCCTTTTAATATAACTACATAACTTTATTACATTATAAGAATTAGTCACTGATCTTTTATAAATGTTTACACAACACTTTTCATATTCCCTTTTGTTTGGTTGTTGTTGGGTTTTGTTCTATTTTTGCTTTTGGACAGACTTACTGGATACTAACTGTAAGGTACTTTCTCGTCATTTAATTTTCACAACCACCAGGTGAAAAATGCCCATTTACAGATTAAAAAAAAAAAAAAAACAACAGCAAAAAACATAGGTAGGATCAAGCCAGTTATAATGAAGTTCTGTTATTTCAGGGAGATGGGGTAGTACCGTGGTTAGAAGTACAGGTTCTCAGCCAGACTGCAGGTTTGAGCTATTTTCTACTGCTTACCTTACTGTGTGGCTTTCGGGAAGTTACTTCAACTCTGTGTGCCTCCATTTCCTCACTCTAACTGCCTCCTAGGGTTGTTCTGAGGGATAAATGAGTAATTAATACATTTTAGGCAGTTAGACAGTTCCTGCACCTAATAAGTACTCCATGAATATTAGCTGTTCTTATATTAATATCCACATTTCCAGAAGCTTTCTACAATTGACAGTATCAGTGGCAATGTCTGTGAGACCATGCAGAAAAACATCTTATTGTCTTAAGGTCATCTTAATGTGGAATAGAAGGAAACTAGACTTAGAGTAGTATTCCTGAATTAGCTCTATGGCTTCAGAAAAGGTTTTTTTTTGTTTGTTTGTTTGTTTGTTTTTTTCTGAGACAAAATGTTGCTCTGTCACCCAGACTGGAGTGCAGTGGCGCAATCTCGGCTCAGTGCAACCTGTGCCTCCCGGGTTTAAGCAATTCTCTTGCCTCAGCCTCCTGAGTAGCTGAGATTACAGGCACATGCCATCATGCCCAGCCAATTTTTGTAGTTTTAGTAGAGATGGGGTTTCACCATGTTGGCCAGGCTGGTCTTGAACTCCTGACCTTGCGATCCTCCCGCCTTGGCCTCCCAAAGTTCTGGGATTACAGGCGTGAGCCACAGAAAACTAATTTTAAGTTTTCCAGCCATCAGTTCCATCTTTAAAATGAGTGCTCAGTCAACTGATCTCTCAGTTCCCTTCTAGCCTGCTGATTCCACCAGAATTATACATGTGACCTTGGTAAATGACTCTAGTTTGCTCTGCAAGCCCCAAGAGGCCTGTGATTTAATGGCTTAGATTCAGTGAGCAAAAAGAGAAAAATAGAGAACAGGATGAAGTAAATACTTTCCATAATTATTAATAGTTTTTGGAAATTTATTTTCTCTACCTATTCCTTTTCTTATTTTCTCAAGATTGTATAGTTTGCAGAGCTTTGGGGGGCTCAGTTACCTGGAAATGAAGTGGACAATATATATAAAATTGTAGATATGTAAACATATACATTAATATATATTATACTATTGATATAAAAATATATATTAATTTTAAATATGTATGCAGTAGATTATAAACTCCTTTCAAAGTATTTTTTTTTGTTAAATCACAGATAGGCTAGATAAAGTAACAAGTTGCAATTGTAACATCTCTGTTTGGATAATTGTTCAAGAAATTTAATTACAGGATTTTCTGTATCACAAATAATCTATTAACTTTGATGAAGCTATGAAGGTTTTTTCCTATGGTTATTTGAAATAGGTTTTTCGTTTTCATGTTACTGGTGGGATGCCTGTAATAAGTAAAATTCAGTGAGATTTAGTCATTTAACAAATATGTTAATAGTTACTGTGTACCCAGCACAGTTCTATATGCCTGAGATCTGTCAGTGAATAAAATAGACAAAACTCCTTGCCCTCCTGGAATTTACAATCTAATGGTAGAGTCAGACAATAAACACCCTAACAAATAGGTTAAATGATGGAATGTGATAAGTGCTATAGAGAAAAAATAAATCAGGCTAAAGAGGGTTGGCCATGCTAGGATAGGAGTTAGGGTGCAATAGGGCAGTCAGGGAAAGCCTCATGAAGAAAGTGAGCAGAAATTTGTAAAGGAGTTAGCCATACAGCCATCTGAGGAGAAGCATTCATGACAGAGGGAACAGTCTGTGCAACAGCCTCATGGCAAGAATATAACCCGTGTGTTCATGGAGGCCGGTGTGTTCTGATAGGAGTGAGGAAGGAGGAAAATTCTAGGAAATGAGGTGTGCGGAGTAGGAGTTGGAGTGCAGGTCATGGGGAACGTTGTAGACTGTTTTAAGGATGTCTTTAGTGAAATGAGAAATCACTGGAGAACATTGAGATGTATGGTATAAGTTAACGTCTTTATATAATTGCAATACAACATTCTTTCTCAACCTTTTTAGGTAAATGAATTATCTTTCCCTCTGAAGTTATTACATTCCTCCTACCCAAAAAGGCAGAAAAAAGAAATTTTTATATTTCAAAAATGTATGTTTACAAGTAGAATATTAGTGGTCCCTATTTTGTGTGTGTGCTTGAACAGAGAAATATGGAACTGAAGAAGGTATTATATTCTTCACTTTCAGTTGCAGATTTGTTTCCCTCAAGCCACTTATATTTAAGAAAAAATGCTATTTTAGATTGACAGTATTAAAAGTCAAAACAGATGGCATCTTGGGGTGTGTTTTTGTAACACAAGATAATGTAAATCTTTGTATCTATCTCAGGGTAGTCTGCAAATAAGGTAGTTTTATTAGGCACTGAATTAAGACCACTTAGATTTTATGTGTGTTTTGACTTCTTTGCTAAGTGAAATATTTTTGTTTTCATTCTTTCCCTTTGCCCTCTTCTTCCAGAAGTACATCAGGGGAACCAAAAGAAAGAGACAAGGAAGAGGGTAAAGATTCTAAGCCGCGTTCTTTGCGGTTCACATGGAGTATGAAGACCACTAGTTCAATGGACCCTAATGACATGATGAGAGAAATCCGAAAAGTGTTAGATGCAAATAACTGTGATTATGAGCAAAAAGAGAGATTTTTGCTTTTCTGTGTCCATGGAGATGCTAGACAGGATAGCCTTGTGCAGTGGGAGATGGAAGTTTGCAAGTTGCCACGACTGTCACTTAATGGGGTCCGCTTCAAGCGAATATCTGGAACATCTATTGCCTTTAAGAACATTGCATCAAAAATAGCAAATGAGCTTAAGCTGTAAAGACATCCAAATTTACAGGTTCAGGGAAGATACATACATATATGAGGTACAGTTTTTGAATGTACTGGTAATGCCTAATGTGGTCTGCCTGTGAATCTCCCCATGTAGAATTTGCCCTTAATGCAATAAGGTTATACATAGTTATGAACTGTAAAATGAAAGTCAGTATGAACTATAATAAATATCTGTAGCTTAAAAAGTAGGTTCACATGTACAGGTAAGTATATTGTGTATTTCTGTTCATTTTCTGTTCATAGAGTTGTATAATAAAACATGATTGCTTAAAAACTTGTATAGTTGTCTAGATTTCTGCACATAAATGTACGTTTGATGGTTTGATTTGAAAATGTTCTTCCCTGTTATTTACATTCTGGTGGGTTTTTTAAATTCTTACTTCCATCATGCAATTTTTGAAAATTGTGTCCAGAATTAAAAGTGCATAGAAATAGTCTTTACAATTGTAGCATGGACCTTGAAAAATTATTTTAAAATCGTATTTAAATTTAAACCAGAAGCTGAAAAATAGATCGGCTTTATTATACACAAAATTATTCCTGCTTATCTTTGCTCTTTTACTTGTTATCCCACAAAGTTTAGTTGAGAAGATACAAAATGTTTACAGTGTTGGCACTTAGAGTTTTTAAATTCAAGTACATGAAATTCAATAATAGCTTTGCCTTGAGCTAACTAAGAAGTACTGGGGAAAAAGTTAAGTCTATATCAAGTTTCTTTTGAACTTTGAAGTGTTTTCTGACCCACTGCTAACTGTAGCAGCAAAATTAAAAACAAAGAACAATACTTTATCTGGCTATTATAAACTGTCACATAGATTTGCTGCCTTCAGAATACCGCAATGTAATTGCGGGGATATAATAATATTGGGACTGTTTCATAGCACAAACTCATCTTTACAGTGTTGATCAATGCATCGGTTAAGAAATAATGCCACCTCAGGAATTAACTGGCATTGGGAGCATTTGCCACATTCTCCTATCCTCTTCACTCCGCCACTGTAATATCTATAACTACTTAAGAGACTTGTGAGCAAAACATACTATTTATAACAGTGTATTATTGATTTATGCTTATGTGGTTGTTCAGTTTGTTCCCATGTAACTCGTTTGTTTTCAATATTTTGCCAGATTTCTTGTATTTATTCCACATCATTATGCCTATAACGTGCCGCTTTGTAATTGGGCATTTGCCTACTTTTCTTTCATAATTAGTGATATATGCGATGTAAAACCACTAGTAAAGGTACATTTTAATACTTGTTGTTTTATACTGAATTAGCCTTGGAGGTTGACTGTGCAATGTTATTTACTGTTGTAATTACTGTAATATCAACATATGGGCCCCATCTGCACACTCTTGAAAAATAGAAAGTGTATTCAAATTTTATCAGTTTAAAGAAAATAAAGCTGTGATAAATACTGTAATTCCAACCTACATTAGAAGGCTCTAAGTGTAAGTGATGTGCCATTCCATAATGGCTTCCAGACTAGGATGAATTTTACATTCTGTACTGTACTGTGATGTAGCTTTCTTCTGTAATAGTTATGTTCTAAAATGAAGTGGGGGTTTTTTTTGTTTTGTTTTGTTTTGTTTTGTTTTTTGCCTTAGCAAAGGGTGGTGTTTGAAAAAAAATGTGTAGCCCCTTTTTAACCTAGTGTTCACTCAAAAAAAATTGATGCAAATCTTTATTCACTTTTCACTGGTGCACACTGAAATTTTACTTGAACAGTTCTCATAATAAAGCACTTGTCGTTTGCTCTTTATCAGAATGTGAATTACCTGTTTTCTAGTACAAAAGTATTCTGTATGAGGAGTTTATTGTATGTGTTCTGAATTTAGTTGGCAAAGGGTGATGCTGTGAAGGTTTTCAAGATTATTGAAGCTATGAAGGTTTCTTGTCATTATGACAAGAGAATTTAAACTTTTTATAGGAATTCCTATCACTGATACTTTTAAAAAAAATAGACGTCATGTGTTTTCCACGGTAGAAACTGATGTTTTTTACATTTTCTCACTGTGGCCAACTCTTAATATGTTTGTAGAAAGGAATTTTACTTCAATATCTTTTATGAACTAAAAATGAAATCTTGATACTTCAGATTTTTTATTTTATGTGTTCATGACAACATAAATATTTTTTGAAAATTTAGAGAAATTTTACAATATGTTTGCATAAATAAATACCAGTTTATGTTCACTGGCTATGTGATACCAGGATTTCCTTGGCTTCTGTTGAAATATTATTTGATATGGCATCCCTTAAATTAATTATTTTGTAGAAACTGGGGCATAGCATTTTATTTGTTAAATGGAAAGAATAAGATGAAATATACTCCAGAACCTTGATCCAATAATATTCTCTAAAATATAATTTGATTTAAAACCGAAAAGATCTTATTTTGAGGTGATTTTCACGTGAAGGAAAAAGCATACGCTGAGCAGCAAGCACCAATTTACTGTAAACAAGTGATTCCATTAGCCTGTGCAAATTAATCAAGATGATCTCTGCCTTCATTTTCAAAATATCTATTGAAATATCTACTATGTCTTAAGATACATAAAAAATTATAAAAGATGGTTCCTACCTCTCAGATTTTGGTCTGCTTGAAAAGACAAACTGTATATATATGCAGAAGTAAAACACACACACACACAAGAAACTGAAAGCTCTCAAACTACCACAGATAATAGATGCTGTAGAAATTCAGAGAAGAGTGAGTTCTGTATGGACACTGTAAAGGCAGGTCTTTTAAGGGACTTGAAGACTGGGTAAAATTTAAGAGACAATAGAAAAGATCCTACAGATGGAAAAAAGGCTTCAAGTTAGTAATAGCTCTAAGACATTGTTAAAAATGAACCACATATTCTAGGAAGTGACAGGGTTCACATAGGTTGATTAATAGCTGCTTATAAAGCATCAATTGGCAGTCTCAGCTTGAACTTGACCTATGGATAGAGGGGAGCAATTAGGAGAGTTTTTTAAGCCAAGGAAGTGCCTAATAAATTGGTTGTTAAAGAATGGTCCAGGCCGGGCGTGGTGGCTCACGCCTGTAATCCCAGCACTTTGGGAGGCCGAGGCAGGTGGATCACGAGGTCAATAGATCGAGACTATCCTGGTCGACATGGTGAAACCCTGTCTCTACTAAAAACACAAAAAATTAGCTGGGCATGGTGGCACGTGCCTGTAATCCCAGCTACTCAGGAGGCTGAGGCAGGAGAATTACTTGAACCCAGGAGGCGGAGGTTGTGGTGAGCCGAGATCGCGCCATTGCACTCCAACCTGGGTAACAAGAGCGAAACTCCGTCTCAAAAAAAAAAAAAAAAAAAAAAAAAAAAGTCCATTAATTCAGCAAGTTTGTGGAGTGCCAGTGTACATTAGAGTCTAGGTTCTAGGAAATAGCAGTAAAAAAATATGTAACAGAAATGTATGGACTGGATTGAAGAGTAGAGGCAGGAAGATCTTTTCTGAGGTTAAAACAATAAAGCATCAATGAAATACCATGTATGTGGGGTGGTTAACATAGAGTGGAAAAAGGTAAAAAGGAAGAGACATTTCAAAAGATGTATCAACAAGGTACCACGGCTTGGGTACAATGGCTCATGCCTGTAATCCCAACAGTTTGGGAGGCCAAGTGGGTGGATCGCTTGAGCTTGGGAGTTCAAGACCAACCTGGGCAACATGGTGAATCCCTGTCTCTATTAAAAAATAGCCAGATGTGGTGGCATGCACCTATAGTCCCAGTAATCGGGAGGCTGAGGTGGGAGGATCACTTGAGCCTAGGGGGCAGAGATTGCAGTGAGCTGAGATCATGTCACTGCACTCCAGCCTGGGTGACAGAGTGGTCCCTGCCTCTCCTCCCCCAGCCCCCAAAAAACAAGATAACATGAATATGATTCACAGACTCTAAGAAAGATAATTGGATGGGAGTAGAGCTTCCTGGCATAGGATTCGAGTTTTCAGCTTGCATTTTAAGACTTCCACTTTCACCTAACATGAAGTAACAGTACCAGATTTACTCTCCCACCTAAGACAATGAACAAACAAGATGAGATATGTGAAATAATTTCACGCATGTTTTCATCAGAATAAAAACAATTTTTAAGGCATTCGCTATTAGTCAATGAAGAACAATGATCCTTGAGAGGAAAACAAACAAAATGACCTCTAATTTGTCCAGCTTGTGGCACAGGGAGAGGAAAATCAAGTTGGAGCTTGGCGTTCCCTCTGGTTAAGAAGTCAGAACTGGGAGGCCAACACAGCTAGAGTCTGCAGGGAAGAAGCAGGTGGAGGATACCAAAAAGCAGCTCTGGAGACCTGCAGAAATCAGCACATGAATGTAAGAAAACTATGTGAGGTCAGTGAAAGAACTTCCTGGAATTACATCAGACCAAAAAGCTTCTGCACAGCAAAGGAAACAATCAAAAGAGTGAAAAGACAACTTATGGGATGGGAGAATATATGTGCAAACTATACATTTGAAAAGGAGCTAATATCCAAAATATATATGAACTCAATAATAAAGAAATAACCTGATTGAAAAACGGGGAAAGAACCCAAATAGATATTTCTCAAAAGAAGACATTCTAATGGCCAACAGTCAGAAGAAGGCAGAATGTTCAATAGCACTAGTCATCAGGGAACTGTAAATTAAAACCACAATGAAATATCACCTCACACCTGTTAGAATGACTATTATAAATTGCTGAATGGTAATTAATACTGGCAAGGATGCAGAGAAAAAGGAACTTTTGTACGCTGTTGGTGGGAATGTAAATTAGTACAGCCATAATGGAAAATAGTATGGAAGTTCCTCAAAAAATTAAAAATAGTACTACCATATGGTACAGCAATCCTACTACTGGGTATCCATCCAAAGGATATGAAATTTGTGAGTTGAAGAGATATCTGCATTCCCGTGTTCACTGCAGCATATTAACAATAGATGAGATATGGTGTCAACCTAAATGTCCATAAACAGATGAATGGGTAAGAAAATGTGACATATATACATAATGGAATACTATTCAGCCTTAACAAAGGAAGAAAATCCTGTCATTTGTGACATGAGTGACACCTGCAGGACATTATGGTAAGTGCAATAAGCTAAGCACAGAAAGACAAATATCATATGATCTCACTTACAGGTGGAATCTTTAAAAAGTCAAACTCATAGAAACAGAGAGTAAAATAGTAGTTACCAGAGGCTGGGGGAGAAAGGAGGATTGGGGAGATATTGGTCAAAGGACGCAAAATTAGAAGGAATAAATTCAAGAGATCTAGTGTATATTATGGTGACTGTAGATAATATATTTTATACTTGAAAATTGCTAAGACAAGATTTTTAAGTGTTCTCACACAAAATGTATGTATGTGAGGTAATGCATATGTTAAATTGCATGATTTAGCCATTCCACAATGTATACATATATCAAAACATCATGTCGGCTGGGTGTAGTGGCTCCCACCTGTAATCCCAGCATTTTGGGAAGCCGAGACAGGAGGATCGCTTGAGCTCAGGAGTTCAAGACCAGTCTGGACAACATAGTGAGACCCTGCCTCTACAAAAAATAGAAAAAAAATTAGCTGGATATGGTGATGCATGCCCGTAGTCCCTGTAGTCTCAACCTGTAGTCCCTGTAGTCCCAGCTACTTGGGAGATGGAGGCGGGAGGATCACTTTGGCCTGGGAAGTAGAGGCTGCAGTGAGCTGAGATCATGCTGATGGGAATGTAATGTGAAGCCCCTGTGAAAAACAGTATGGTGGGGAATGT